ATCCGACCATGGGGTCTTCCTCCCGAAAGCCAGCAGAACACCGAAGGTCTAAAAGTTTGCCGCTTACCCCTCCCTCTTCCCGAGAAAATGCTACGCTGGCACTGCCGCCATTTGCCTCAGGATGCTGCACTTTGCTGGCTCCCACCTTCCTCGATTCGCCGTTTTCCCATTCTTCAGGAATGTTAATACACCAGGTCAGGTTACTGTCACCTCTGGCAAGTCTGTCACAGCCCCGCAGGTCCCAGAAAACTTCTGTTATAAAAATGACTTCCACTATCTCTATTTGGATCATTTATATGATGATCTCACAGAAATCAGATTCCATGAAGGCAATCTTATTTCATTCACTTTCAAGTTCCCGGGAGGTAACTCACTGTACCTCCTCCTGTCAAGAGTGGTCCTGACCAGGAACCAGGGCTGGAAAGACGCTGGAAGTCATTCCTCCAGAATACAAATGAGGTCGCAGAATGGTTTTCTATCACCACCTACCTCTTCTTCAGCTGGGCTTCTCAGAGTCAGTGCCCCAGCGGCAGCAGCCTGGCGAGAAGATCTGCCCACCCACTTGGGCTTCTTTCAAACCATCCATCACAATGGCTGTAACGCTTCCTCTCAGTGCGAAGCATGGCAGATCCTTCTCCCCTTGGCTTCCCTCTTGATGAAGAGCTGCTGAACTTTCCGTTGATTCTTCAAAGGAGTTATGGCTTTTAGCACTATATTAACCTGCTTTGGAAGATCAGGGTGTTTATTTTTGAGATCCTCATCATGTCAACTTCCTTAAGCCTAACTGTACCCCCATTAGTCATTTGCTTGATGGGAGGATTAGTAAAATTGAAAGGATAAAAAAAGAAAAGAAAAAAGAAGAAAACACACTTTATAATTCAACTAGGTTCTAGGTTCTTATTCACCTGATTTCAACCGAATTCTTTTAAAACAAACATGATTATAAATATAGGTGTGGGAGGGCTGGTGGAGGAGGGAATAAATACAAGTGCCTATACACTGAGCACCTTCTCATTCTTTCAGCACACAGTGCCGTTTGGCTTACTCAATATGCATGTGTGTCTCTGACTGAAGGAGCATCTCGGTTCTGGAAGAAGCAATACCTTGTATTGCAGAACCTTCCCTTAAAGCCCATGGGCACCCGTGCTTCATTTGCTCCATGCAAGTTCAGCAACGTCTCAGTAATTAGGAATTACATGCTCCGGTGCTGAACATAAAGGGCTCGACTTGGCCAATGCCCTTGCTTCTCTTTGGGCCTTTAGTTTCCTCTTCTGTAAAATGAAATAGCTGAAATAGATTATTTCTTAATTTCCTTTCAGCTCTCCATTTTTTAAGTCACTCTTTCTGAATCAGTTTATCTTGTATCTTCCTTTCTTCTCTTCCTTCCTTTCTATGTACTTAATCATCTATTTATCTTTCCCAAGCATTTCTGAGGCTTTTCTAGAGATGGATTTAAGCTGATGAAGCTTAAATTTCAAGGTCCTTCCCTACACCCCTTCTAAATTCAAAATATCTAATTTTGTATTTTAAACTTAATATCTCTTTCTCAAAAGAGAACTCCCGTTTTTGTATATGCTTCGGGCCCCACGAAATCTGTATTTGCCCCGGGATGACTTAGGACAAAAAGACAAATACAAAGAAGAATACCCAAATAGGAATTCAAAAGGAAAATGTGAGAAAAAATAGAAAGAAAACAAGCCAGATATTAAATGAGTTTACCCAGTTGAGCATCAAGTTGAGCTCTGAGCCTCTGCAGTTCTCAGAGGGCAAGTGGTAAGGAGGCATCTGTACCCAATGGGACTGTCACTATCAGAATGGAGGAAATGCTCAGAGAACAAAAACAGACGTCAGTACTGAGAAATGTCTCAGCGGAAGATTTTGTAGGAGAGAAGATCATACTAGGACCAAAAGTTGTATTCTTACTATAGTAGAAACCTTCTTTGAAAGAAGCAATAGAGTTTTTCTCAAATACCATTGAGCTCTTCTCTACCAGGCATTGTCCCAGACAGATGCTAGAGATCTAAGCTGGAACGAGACATGGCACTTGTCCCCCTCAAAGCTCTCAGGCAAACATGCAGACAATCATAAAAATAAGTTGCTAGGTTGCTCATGGAGACCCGGACAAAGAGGTATGTGAACACAAAGGAGAGCGGCTAATTCACATCAGGGAGATGGAGAAGTCAGGAAAGGAAGAATTTCTAAGCTCAATTTTAAAGGTAAAAATATTCCTTACATAAGAGTTGTCACTTCACAAGTAATGTTAGACAAACTGCCAACACATGTCTAGACGGTTTTCCTGAGCATGATCTGACTCTTATTCCCACAGTTTATGAGTATTGTCACAGTGGTAAGATGGAATCCCATTCATTGATTTGTTCCTTTCAGACCCCAAGAAACCCACCTTTTATGAAATGAATAGTAGCCTTCCTGCCTATGTCCTTAAACAGGTGAAAGATATCTCATGGCTTGCTTGTAGTTTTTGTAATGGATGTAATGGGTTTATTAAATGCTTTAGGTGTCTGTAGAGAACCAAGAGTGATCTGTTTGGATGTTATGATAAGAAACATTAGGGCAAAAACAACATTTGAAAATATACTAATGGATATCCTTTGGTGTTCATATATTTTCAACTTCAAAAATCTTTATTCCAATGAGCAGTTTAAAAATCTTTTCTAAGCAATTCCCATTTTACAGCAGTGGAATAGAAAGTGACTCATCTGGCAGCACCTCAAAAAATTATGAGCCACCCAGTGAGGAAGAGCCTGAATTTTAAACATCCAAATGTTAGGTAATAGAAAACATCTTCATGAAGAAAATAGGATCATGTAATGGCCTTGCTTGGCCAGGTTTGTATAGCTGCAGTGAACATTTTTCCCTGCCCTGGCCTCCCCAAAGGAATGGAAACATTTCTGCATCTTTCTAAAGTATTCAACTACAGCAGATACTGCATCAAACAGTCTTGTGGATTTGTTCTCCATTGTGTCTGGACAAACACCCCGAAAAACTTTGCCTTGCATTATGCATGGCCCTCGAGCTCCATGTAAGTTAGAAAACACATGAAAAGTCTCTTTCTGCCATCCTACCTTCCATTCTCTTTGACGAATTACCAAAGGCAAGCAGGTCCTTGCAATAGAGCAGGATCTCAATCATGGGGAAATTTGGAGTTTCTGCAGTTGATAGTAAAATTATGATGCTGCCATCGTGCTTCACTCAGTGGATTTGCAAAGGAATAAAAAAAAAAAGAAAAGATTCGGTGCCAAGTCACTGTCACCCTGCAGCAAAGATAGGCTACTAAAGTGTCAGGTCAGGAACTCAACAGTCCTTTGCAGAAATCACATTTGGCTTGAAATTCAATTCACAGGGCAGAGTTAAAACATGGACATGGAAATTTAGGTTTCCAGTTTGGGTTGATCGTTGATCAGTAATTAAGCAGATGCACCATAAAACTCTTTGCATTTAACATAAAATATTTTGATGTATGTAACAGCTGAAAATAAGATTTCAATGCTTCCAGGGTTTTTAAAAATCATAGTAAGCTTTAATTCCTCCTTCTCCCTTCCCAAGAAAGAGGAATATAGCTCTTAGTTTTACGGAACACAAAGCTAGAAATCTCTGCATAAGGCACAATGATTAGTTAAAATAAGCAGAGGGCAGTTGTTCAAAGATAAATACTAAAATAGAAGTTTAATGATTCCTATGATTACCACCTGTTAGCACACTTCAGCACTGTGGAGAACAAGTCTGAACAGCTCATTAACAGCTATCATTTATTGACTATACCATGTGTCAGACATTGTTATGGATTATCTCATTCAATCCTCACAGCAGCTCCATGCAGTAGATATTATTAGCCCCTTTCAGATGAGGAAACATACATAGAGAGGCTGGGAACTTGCCTGAAATCACCCAGCTAGTCAGTTGCAAAGCAGAACCCTTACTTAGTTTTTGTCTGATTCTCATCTCATGCTCACATGCACCACTACCTGAATTTAATGGAGAAGATACATATCTCTGACTTTTAATTAGCAATGTCTGTGATGGTGTGGCTTGTTTCATGAACCAACAATATCAATAATAGTAATCATAGCAGAGCTGGATATAGCACAGAGTACCTACCAAGCAATGCTTTGAGTACTTTAAACATATTAATTTATGTAATCCTTGCAACAACCTGAAGAGGTAGGAAACCAAGCCACTAAGAACATAAGCAACTTGCCCAATGGTCACACAGCCAGTACGTGTAAGAACAAAGCTTCAAAGCCAAAAGGCCAGGCTTCCATGCCCCTGCTCTTGGCTAGGAGTGTTTAGGATACTGACTGAATTCATGTCCATATTTATACCAAGTCCAGGCACATTCTGAAATAGTTCCACCATCTCAGCACTAACTTGTAAATTAAAGTGGAAGCTGGAAAATCAATTAATTCCATGATCAATATGAACAACCTAATGTATTCTTGAATTATTCTGCTCAATTAAGCTTCTATAGAGAGTTTAATCCACATATCTGACAAGTAAAAGAGGAATAAAAATGTTGCTTATGTGGAATTAATCAAAGCACCAAGTGAATTTCTAAAGCTAGCACATGCATTTCACAACACATTTAAAGTGATCTATTGCATATGTGGATATATTTGCTGGGCCCCCGTAGTGTATATTTGTTACTCTGCGCTCAGAATTTAAGCCTAGCTTAGTATCTGTTTGACCTACATACAAATGAATGTTCATTAACCTTATAGGAAAGCACAAAATGTTTGATGTCATGAAGCTGTCTTGAACCAACTATTAAAGCTGCGCATTAATTTCCCAACTCTGATGAGTTCAGGAGTTTGATAATGAAAGCAAAATGGTTTCAAAGGATGAATTTTGCTTTTTTTGTGCTGATTTCCTAATGATCTGAATGTTATCAAGTGTGAAGTTTCTGAGATTTTATATTAAGTTATAGATTGTCATGTACTAATGTATGTCTAACAGCTTTTCTTTATTGTTTTCTTTCTCTCCAGGTATCCCCAGTATTTCCAGTATTGGTAGTAAGTAAAAAAATCACCAAACCAAGTCTAAGCTAGCTCTGCTTTGTTGTTTAGCTCCTCAGACCTATTTTCCCAGTGTCCATTTCTGATGTAAGGGAGTATTTTCTTTGGTAATTGTATCAGTTCGCTCTCTGCACAGATACGGTGAGAGTACAAATACAGTGGTCACCTGTGTACAACTCCTTTGAGGACATGGCAGTGCCCCAGCTTCCCTGACCACTTTTGATCAATGAAGGTTACCTTACAAGGTACAATTAACTTAGGCAGTTCATTTAGCGAAATTATAAAGTCCTGTTTATCTGTGCTCAGTAACCAACAAACACACTGAACTCTCTTCCTAGGACTGGATATGGATTTCTTTCACAACTTGGAAAAGCAGAAAATGATGTCAATGGATGCTTTAGGCATATTCATTAGAATCCAAGGAAAATGCATGAAACCAGGGGGAGGGAATTTTATTAATGCATCAAGGTTTAGTCTTTGTAAAGGCCTGAAAGGGGCAGGTTTGTGATCATTAGTCTTTCTGGAGAAAGGAAGGAAGAAAATAATCAGAATGTCCATTTTTCCCTCCTAAAATAGAGTGACCCATGCTTTCCTGTTTACTTAGGTTAAGTTTGATAGAGAAGAGGTATAAAAATGCATGCACTATTTAGGAGCCAGGCTACTAGAAATTCCTGCAAGAAATCTTGTAGTAGAAATACAAGCAATGGAAGGAGAAATCCCTCTTCGCCTGTCTGTGGGAAACACTTCAGTACTGTTGCAAAGAGCATTCTCCCAGCTATAATGGGAGAACCGGATTGTAACCCTCTCTTCCATATAAAACAATGACACCCCCAACACCACGCCTGACATGCTCAGTAAGGAAATGCCCCATATATCTTCAGAGCAGATTCTCATGTTTTTATATATTGCACCCTTTCTCTCTGATGGCTGCAGCCTTTGAGCAGCTGCTGAATAACTGATTCAAAATTCTGAGGAAACTGAGATTATGCACTGTAAGTGAAGAGAAGAATTTTCACTGTGGCCTCACACCTCACAGGCTCCATTACAGGAGTTGTGCCCAACAGGATGACTGCAGCAGCATAGACAGCAGTGGGTGAAGCATTCTAACACCCAACATCCATCTGATAATTTTGGGAAAACAACTTCCCACTTCTTATAAATTCACAGTCGGATCTTCCAATTTATAAATCAACCCAGTTTACTTAATCTTGTGAATAGGCTGGGACACAGATTTGTTAAGCACCAGACATATTAACTGCCATGAAAACCAGCTGCTTTGTAAATAAAAGTTGAGGCCACATCCATTTAGATTCCAGCCTAATGCTGGAACATCCTCTTTGTGATTTTGTTGAAACAGCATGAGTGCTACAAACATGTAAATGAAAACCTTTAGCTCTAATGGTCTGTGTTCTGCTTTTGGATCTCCCTGGGCATTTGCCTTCACTGTAGCTATAGCCCACAAGGTGCTCCTTTCAGGCCTTGGCAATTGCATTTGCACATGGATTTTAGAACAAAAGGGAGTTAAGTGCAAGCACGCTGACACAGGTTACTGAGTACTGCTGCCGTGGTCTGGCCTGTCAAAAGTTCCAGAAATGGATGGGTGGAAAGTAGTTCTTTGGTGCTGGGTGTGTTTCTGTTCAGAGTGTCAGTCATGTGTTGCATGGATTCTTTGACTGTACAGCTCACTCACCATCTCATTCGGCCACCTCCACCACATGCCCCATCTCTGAGCATCAGCAGATGTTGACCTTTTACACGCTGAATCGGGAAATTCCAGTTTTGTTCTGCTTTGTTTTATTTTGAACTCAGTGTGGTGACCTGAAAGGATGCATTGTGTGCCTTTGGAAAATATATTAACTGTTATTACAGGAACGTAGGAAAATTTAACTCCTTAAAACGTAACCAAAACCCTCTAACAGATAAAGTGATAGTTTGTACCCTGCCTTTGGGGTGCCTCTGACTGTTCTGCTTGGAGTACAAGGGGTATTTCCTCAGATTTCTCCAGCAACCAGGACATAAGCTTTTCCAGGGGTCACCCTACAGCAAACATGACTGGCTTGCCTCTTGCTGGCTGTAAGCTCAAGAGATTTATGATAAAAATCAGGAAACATGGGTGTATCTTCTGGGCTGCTTCACTGGCATTCGCACATTCCCCATTTGTGAGCTCATAAAGTGCCTGTTGTATGCACTGGTGGGTTCTTTTCCTCTCCAAAAGTTCAAAAATTCACGCACAGATAGATGACACAGCCTGCTCTGGAGGCCATAGGAATGGGGTTGCCAAGGTACAAGTCAGAGACGAGGAAGCTGCTTTGATTTTTAACTAAGTTTGGGTGTTTGCCAGAGCTTTTCCCTTTATCCCAAAGAAGGAATCAATGAGTGTGATTCCACTAAGTATATAGAGAGATGCCATTATAACAGATGTAACACCCATGAGACTCCCATCACCGAAGCATACCTCAAAGAAAATGAATCATGTATGTTATCATCATAAATTATTGATGTGTGTAACCATAAGTTCACATACCTATACTCAATGACTAAAGATTTTGGAGGCCTAATAGATTTTAGTATAGATCTCAAACTATCAATGCCTGTATTAAGGCTCAAATGCATGGACAGGAGAGTCATCCTTTCTGATCATCTGCTAAAAATGTTTTTAAAACAAATTTCCCATGAAGGTCATTTGTACCTGCTGCTGTCTATCTATTAGGAAATAGGTTTCCCAGTCATCCCAGAGGTACTTGGTTTAAACTCAGTCATTTTGCTGTGCTTTGGCTGTGGCTGAAAAAATTATTGGTGATATTGTCAGCAATTAATGAATCCCCAAATAAATTTTAGCCCTATGAACCTTATGATCTGTTTTTTTGTTTTACCTGATGTAGTAGTAATTCACTCAGGTATTTTTTAATAAAAGGTATCATGCATTTATAAGTAAATATTCACAGTCTTACACAAGTGAACACTGATTGATGTGGATGATCCAAATTAATAGTAGGTTTGAGGTGGATGATTTTTTTAAAGTAATAAACTAATCATTAGCTTCTAACATAATATCTTAGTCCGGAAAAGAAAGTGATTTCACTAATTATGTTAAATAGTGTACTTTAAAGAACATACATAGAACAAGAATTGGCTTCATGTGCACATAGCTTTGTGTGGGTGCTTATCACTTAAAAAAAAAAGCAGACAGATAAGTCAGAGATTAAAAGTAGGCCATCCACTGAAAATCAAAGATCACATAAGGAAAAACTTGGAATTCTTTAAGAATGAAAATATTTCTTAGAATAGCAACAATAGAAAAAAAAGATGTAAACATTTTGTGAACCCAAATACATGTTATTTCCTTAAATTACTTCCAAATGATTGACATCATAGTATATAAAGCATAGAAATATTGATGGAGGCATGGCTATTACCTCCCCTCCAATTTATTCACTTTGAAACAATAGTTCACATAAGGGATATATTCCACTTTCCTGTTTTCTCTTATAATTAGCATTGCCTTCATCACATAGTTAAAAATCATCGCTAATTTGATTTAATTGGCAGGACTATTAAACAAGGGAACTATTACCTGCAGGGAACCCTCAGCCTGTTGAGAAAGCCCAGAGATGTTTTCATACTTGAAAACATTTGATGCCAGTTGGAGACCTTGTAAAAGTTGTTTACCAGACAGCATCCAAATATTTTTGTTCAGTACTGATTTACTGTAGGAGCCTGCATCGTGAGGAAAATAACAAGGTCAGTCATTTCCCCACCCAAGGGTTATTAGTAATCGTGTTCATGCTATCCAGAGAGCTGCAGTGTTTGTTTGTTTCCTTTTGGTTTAATACTTCTAAATCCCCCAAATAAAAGTTTCATTTGAATTGCCCTTTAACTAATTGGGTTTTATATAATGAGGAAAAGAATTATCAGGCTAGTATAGCTATATGGCAAATTGCATGGTGTGCTACATTAATTCTGAACTGTTTGCTGATGTTCTAGAAGGAAAGCTAAGGTCCCAGGTGATATACTTCTGGGACTTTGTTATATCATGTACCAAGTATCCTCATCACAGATCCATTTCATATTTGTGTAACTAGCATTTCACATTCATGAAACTTTTGTGATTATCCTAAAGTTGAATGAACATTAGGACGTAGCTGTTTCTTTAATCCTGAAGAAAAAATAAAATATTTCAACTAAGGTGGGGGAAGTATTCCCTACCTAAAAAAAGAAAGAAAAAATCCAAGAGGTTTAGAAATCTTTATTGACAATAATTGCCTACCTTGAGCAAATTGACTTTGTTTCATGCATTAACCTTTATGCAAATGAATTTAGAATGTCAAGCCACTTTTTAAGTGTGAGCTGATATCTGTACCTTTGCTGTTTTCTCTGTGTGGGGGCATCTGGAAATTCCTAGCATAAACAAAGATTTACCAAGATCTCTTATAAGATCCTATGATGAACCTTCAAACATGTAGCTGTGAACACCCACACTAAGTGTGGGTATCATAGATGTCTTCTTGGAGTATCAGTAAGAAGTGGGCCAACCAACTGTTCCACTTCCTGGGAAGAGTCAGAGGTTCTGCTTGGAACTGGAGAGAAATGATCCCACATCTCTACAGAATTCCATTTTACAGATGGTGAATCTGAGTTTCAGAGAGGCCATATAACTTGCCGAATGTAATACAGCTGGGAAAGCCTGTCTGACTCCAAAAGCTACACTCATAACATCATACCAAGTGGAAGAGTTGAGAAAGAAAAATTCCAGTTTCTGACTCCTACCCCCACACTCTTTCCAATCCACTACACTGTATCTTTAGACCTGTTGATCCCTGAATTGACCCATTTCTCTGCAGGGAACGTTAGCATCCTGGAGAAAAACAGACGTTCCCTTTCTGGTACGTCATTGTGTTGTGAACAGAAGTTAACAAGCATAATGTCTGAGGAGAGGGGATAGGAGACTGTGACCCTCCCCCACATTAAAATAAGCCCTTCCTCTACCACCAGGCATC